CGGGAGGGATAAATTCAGGGCAACCTTATATTCAATACAAGAAAAATTATAACAAATGTATAGATTTTCCATATATAGAATCTGATAACTGGGGGGTCATCCTAAATCATAGTCAACTTAGATTTGAGAAAATATGCTACTGTTCCCCCCCTTTGCACTAAGGCCAGAGGAGTCATTGGCTAGACCTTTCCAATGGCTGAGATGAAGCATGGTAATGTTAAGTGCAGGGGTTGATAACCTTTTACTAACAGTGGGCCACCTGGATCTGGATGGTGCTGCCCATCCCCTGCTGCACCCCAGTTCCTGCTTTGTGCAGAGGGACTGATCTCCCACCTTCCCCCACCCCCCCATGCAGCCTTTGAAAGACATTATGAGGGACAATTCAGAGTTGTTAATTTGGTGAGCAGAGGCCGCACTACCCTGCACAGAGTCCTGATCCAACATTGCTCACAAGCTCTCCTGTTGAAGCCTGTTGCGAGATTAGCTGGCCCTTTGTACAATGCAGAACCTGGAATCCAGAGTGAATCCAATGGCTAGCCTGTAACAGGGAATCACTGGGCCTTTAGTAAAACACAGGCCCCAAAAGAGACTGGATCTATCCTGCAGGTCATAGATTACCAACCCCTAGTTTAGTCCAAAGAGTAAATTTCTTGGTAAATTGCTCATAACAGGAGATGATAATAAAAGTCCTGATGTAGTCATGACTTTAGGGAAGCTTCTGTGCTTGCTATAACTCTCCAGTTGGCATTTCAAATACATTTGAGGGCAGGAAATTTTGGGGTATTTCTACACTGCAATCCAGCAGAACATTTGCAGCTTATGCAGACGAACAAAAGCTTTCAGCTTGAGTGCCAACAGCAGTGTATCTGTGGCATTACAGAGCTCAGCTAACTGCCCTGGTATGAGACCACTGTCTGTCCTAGGTGCCACCTAGGGGGCCTTCTAAGGGGAGCCCATGCTGAACCATGAGCAACTCAGGGCTCCACTGTTACTGGTCATGAGCCTTGCTTTTTTAAACTGACTTGGGTGTGTCCCCGCTTCTGGATTGCAACATAGAGATGAGACATTTGACTGAACAAATAAGTTCTAGACTTTGTCCTGTTTCTCTTGTAAAACCATCATTTGTGTGTGGGCCTCTCCTTTAACTAATTATACTTATTTGAACACATAGGTTGAATGTATCACCAGAGTAATGCATCACCCTGAGCACTTTTGGTGATCTCCCTCCTTTATGTTTTGTTCAATTTTTGTTTCCTTCAGGTAAAGAAAGAAACAATCGATCTTCTGGAAATGGGCGTTATAAAGCTGTGCCAAGAGGGCTCTGTGAAGCTGGGACTCTTTTAGTGGTGTAACTAACTGGGATGACTTTTGCAGGTGTATTTCACTTACTGTCTTGTCTGTTATTACTAACTGTGCAATGGCTGACTGTTCCATTCTCCAGGCGCCTAGCAGAAATACCTACTTTGGGAGCTCCCTTTTCTTTTTATAATAAAGTAAAGATCACACCCCCCCCAAACAGGAGGAGGTGTAGTTTTTGTGTAGTTTTTGTGTTGGGGATTGTTGTTGCATGAACACTGTTGTGCTGAAATTCCATGTACATTGACAGTAAAATAGTGACTCTGGATTTTTATCATCCTAAAGATGTTGAAGATGACCTTACTTGTCCTGCCTGCCTCCTGCAGCCCCTCTGCCCTAATGATCTCCTTCCTTCCGTGCCCCTTTAAGAGTGATATCAGACAGCCCCCGCCATTGCTGGCTTCCTACAGGAATTTCTGCCTTTTGGTGTGAGGAGGGGGTTAGACCCTTAAAGAAGCCAGTTCAGTTTCATTCAGACAAGAAATGTTATCCTTACCACTCCTACATTACCATGTTATCTGACTTCGTAATGCCTTGGTGAGAGAGAACCCTCCTATCCCACCCATACCCTGTCACCACTGGAAGTGACTGTGGCTCATGTAATCTTGGCAGTGCTAAGGCTGGGGTGGGGAACTTGGGAGGGTGAGCACTTTCCTGACAGAACACCCCCCCACCCCATGCAGACACCTACCAGGACACGCAATGGGGTTTGATCCTGCCACCTTTACTCAGGTGAGTGGTCCCACCAACTTCAGTGGGGCTACTGCTGTAAGTTAAAAGCTGCAGGGTCATTGTTGAGTTAGGAAAGGATTTTCTTTTCATCTCTGGAGACTTGGCTATACATCCTTGCTTAACAAGCATGCCAGCTTCACCTTCTGGCACCTTCATAACATCACAGGGTCACTTACCCAGCTTGTCTCTCTTTGGGGTTATTCATTATTGCCTTTGAAAAGCTAAATGTGACTTTTATAAACAGTTAATTAAATAGTGTGGTTTGGCCACAGCTAGGCTGTGTGGGCCCCCGACTGCTAGAAACAGAGACTTTTGGCATATTAGCAAGAGGGTAGCATCATGGAGGAGGTCTGGAAGAGCACTTTCCTGCTGACAAGCAGACTGAACAGTTGTTCCTTGCCTTTTTGGAGGGATTGGATCCTGTTGATAGTCGGAACAGTTTCTGTGAACATTGCAAGGGTGTTGTTTGGTTGGTTTGCTGAGCTTTGAGTACTCTGTGATGGTTGAGGATCCCAGCCTTATTGCATTTTGCTTTTTCCTTCCATAAAGAACCTGAAAGAGCCTGAAAGAGAGCACACAAGAGCAATTCTGACCAGATTTTATGTTGCTGAGCTATTGTTGCTGTTGTCTGAGCTTAAGGTTCCCAGCCCTCTCCAGAGAAACTATAGACCCATTGCATCTCAACAGGGTGTCCAAGCATAAAAAAGTTATTACAGACCAGCTAAATTCAGCATTCAGCACCGAGAGTCTTAGTAGTCTTCCCAGATCCCTTTAAATCTTGATTGGACTGCCGTGTACAGAGTGGATCTCCAGTAAGGAATAGAAGTATAGTTAGCTCTATTAGTCTGAAGTCAGTCAGAAGGTAGGGCAGGCTGGCATTTAGACTAACAATTAGTCTCGCTACACATGGAAGCCAAATGAAATGGATGACAGTCAATCTACACAAGAAACTTGTTCAGGTATGCTGAGAGATCTTTTTGCTGACTAGATGCAAGCAGATGAACATCATATCCAAGAGATTCCAGGTAACCAACCTGCTCTGTTCTTCATACCACGCAGCCTGTTCTGACAAGCTGTGCTTCTCTCTGTCCAAGGAACTGAGGAACCACTTCATCAGGGTTTGTTTCAGTTAGTCTCTAATGTGCCTCCCTGACCTTCCTACTGCCAGTGAGGAATAGACTTCTAAAGAAGTCTCTCCCCAGACAGCTTGCCACAGTGCAGGGATTTTGGTGTTTGATATGCAGAACTGGTTTACTAGCATTCAGCACATTGCACCAGGCTGCATCAACACCCCCCCCAACTTAGTCTAACAATATTCTGATCTGTTCTATCAGCTTTACAGCTGGAAGGACACCTGAAGGTAGGTGTTACCCTGTTTCACGGCGAGTATATGTAATCTACAGTGTAGTGTCATTCCAGGGCAATCCACTTACCATCAGATCAGGAAACAATAAAACAGGCCCACTTGCTTCTTCATTTTATATTGAATATTTGTATGAGAATAATACACCACTTCAGAGTCCTTGGGGAGAGCAAAAGGAAACACTGTTGATATCTGTGTTATGAAACTGCCTCCTTTTTCTAAATGTCTTCCTGAAAGGAGATGGAGTTGTGTCCTGGCTCTTTCTTGGGTGCAGTTCTAAAGTCTTGACTATGTAAAAATGGCATCGTGGGGCTCTGTGTTTGTTGGATCAAATGCATTTATTTTATTAGTAAAAAATACAAGTAAAAGATTCCACCCCCACTCCTCCATACTACTAGCTCTGCAGTCACAGCAGAACCTGAAAGCAGCTGGGGCTGTATCTGGTTTGTACATCAAGTAAATTTAGAATTTACTTAATTCGGATGGTGACTCTCAAACTAGCAAAAAGTCCATTTTGCTGTCCCTAAGCTGTGTTGAGCAAACTGAGTAAAATATGCTGGTTTACTGGTTAGTAAAATACAGATGTTTATCAAAGGAATGGTAGAACTGGGCTGAAAAATGAAAATGAAGCAAAGTTTTGTCTAAAAAAGGAAAGCTGGGGTGTTTGGGGTTGAAATTCAAAGCCTCCTGTATCTGGATGCAATTTAATAGGAACGTATTTAGTCAAACAGTGGTGCGATCTGTTAACAAATCCCATTTATCATGCAGGTCAGCTACTGTGTAGGTGGGAACAAACTGGGGGGCTACAGTCTGAATTACTTGGAAGAGCAACAAATAACCTTTTAGTCATTCAAGCCCCTTCTTTCCATAGCTGGATCTCCTTTGAACTGCAGCTGCCATGCTGGCTGCATTGTGGACTAGAGAAAGATGGGAAAAGGGTAGCTGTTAGGGTTGTGCGAAACGGCACCGTTCCATTTTGACTTGCATTTTGACATTTTGACAGAACAGCAGTTCAAATTTCATTTTGATTCAAAATTACTGTTCTGTTTCACTTCATCGGAACAATTTTGCTGTTTCAACGCTGTTTCGACATTTCACCCGTAGGCTATAATGGGGAAGCTAGAAACAGCCTATAACTTTGTCATTTCTGGCCTGATGTGGATGAAACTTGCAGGAATGATAGCCCCTTCTGAGGCCATGAAGCCTGCCAGGTTTCAAGGAGATAGGTGTAAAGGTTTCAGGAAACTGCACCTAAAAGTCTTGAAAGCAAAAAACTCATGTGTATGTGTTAAGCCACAGTGGGGTCTAAACTGCAGGCATGCTAGCCCCTGCTGAGGCCACAAAGCCTGCCAAGTTTCAAGGAGATAGGTGCAGGGGTTTCAGGGAAACTGCACCTCAAGCTGCTGACAAGTAAAACTCTTGACATAGGTGACACTGTGCATGTTAAGGCGCAGCAGGGTGAAAGCTGCAGGCCTGCTAGCCCCTTCTGTGGCCATGAAGCCTGCCAGCTGTCAAGGACATAAGTGCAGGGGGAGTCTGGGTTCTGGGGCCCTGCACCTCTGGCTGCTGACAGACAAAACTCATGACACGGGTGGGTGACACTGTGTGCGTGTGTGTGTGTTAAGGTGCGCCCTCACCCAACTGACACCCAGGCAGAAAGCAGGGCAGTTCAAACAATGCTGCCTTCTTTGCAGTTTTTCTATCGCTCCCCCAGAGCACTGGGATTGGAAGGGACCTCAGGAAAAGTCACTGGCCAGCTACACAGTCAATAATGAGAGCACTCCTCCCTCCCCGCCCCCTCCCTCTCCTTACTTTAGTTTCTGTTTCCCTGCAGGTGAAGCTCAAAATGTTTAGAAAATTTCAAAACATTTTGACTTGCCTCGTTTCATTTCAAGGCTGTTTCGAAGCTCTCTGTTTTGTTTTGGTGTTGCTGTTTCAAGCTCGAAACGAGTCGAAACCGTGCCAAAATGAAACTGCTGGTGAAATTTCATGCAGCCCTAGTAGCTACAGGGATCCTATTTCCCTGTATCTTGTGCTCCCAGTTCACACAGGAAATGATGTATAATGTCAAAAGTGGCATCTAAGAGCTCAGAGGGACTGACACCAATGATTCAGTGCTGTGCATTTGTTCAAGGTATCGTAGTTGGTTTCAGGTAAATGTTGCCTCAGGCTGACACTGAATAGGAGCCCCTACACACTGTCACGCAATGCAGCAGCTGCTTGGCAAAGCCCAAGTAGTCCATTGCTTGTTATAACCCATCTCTGCTTGGAGCAGCTAGGGAAATAAAAAGAGGAGAAAGAGTAATGGATCTGATGGTACCCTAGAACGGCAAGTATCCAGTTTCCACGTAGAAACTGTGCTGCCAGTGATGGGTAGCTCAGAGCTTAGTCAAATCTAACAAACAATTAAACTGTGAGGCAGGAAAAGACTGTAACTATCTTGGAGAACCATAATGTATTAGATGTTTTCCCAACAACTGTCTGAAGTACACCAGCAGCTGTAAAAGATAAGTCTGCTGGGGAAGGGAGAGCTAGTTAATGAGTAATACCAGGAAGTAACAAAGGTTTGAAAAAAACAGCACAGCTTCTGCCTTCAGAAAGGGTCAACAATTTAGTTCTCCATCCCAAATACTTGCCCCTTTCCAACGAGGACATCATGACAAGCAAGAGCAGGAAGGATCCACAACCCCCCGCCTCCAGATGTCCGGATAACAGCGCATTCAGACAACAGAAACTGTCAGCCTGGCAGCCCAAACTCACACCTGCGTCTGTCCTCTCTGGCTTCATTCTCATTGGCGTATTCTGCCTCACCATGGGAGTCTGCCTCATCCTGTCTGCAAAGAGCGTCAAAGAAGTGCAGGTTGGTTTGGGGTGTATTTTTGACATGTTATTACATAGAGATTTAATTGTGTTTAGGAGAAAAATAACAGTGAGCTTGTGCTTCAAAACAAAGATGGTTGCAATAATACTGTGTACTTGTATGTGCTTCCTTCATACAAGTATGTCGGCCCAACTGGTTTAGAATCTGCAGCACCCCTGTGAAAGTATAGTGATCACCAGGAAAAAGATTACCACATTGTAATTTTTCCATGTGCTTAGGGGAGGAGATAGACTGGTCACTGTAATTTACTAGAACATTTAAATAGACATTGGTCATGTTAAAAATCTTTAAAAAAAAAGAAGAAGAAACAACGACAACAAAAGAAAGTGTCCAGGCTTTTTAACAAAATTACTCTAGGTAGACCTGATTGAACATTATGACTGTTTGCAGACATTAAAAAAAAGAGAGTGCTTTACTGGAAGAAGCAATGTGTTACTTCCACCCGGCTCTGCAGCATCTGTACAGATTTGGCAATTCAGGCAGCTTTTTGGTGCTTTTAGCTAAAGCTGATTCAATTGGCTATTAGATAAAAGCACCAAAAAAGATCCACTAAAGCGCCCAGTCTATACAGATGTTGGGCAAGCTGGGTCCAACTAACGTGCTGCCTCTTCTGGGCATGTGCTGGGCTGGGCCATTTTTGGTTTTTTGTTTTGTTTTTTTTAACATCTGCAAGGAGCCTATAAGTCCAAGTGAGAAATCAAAGCTACTGATCATGATCAAATAATGTGAATGGTCATCTATCGATTCACATTATTTTGATGTTTCTGGCAGCTGTTCAGGACCTGTGAGAATAATCATAAATCTTGAAAGCTTCAAAGACTATCACAAGTGGTTAAGAGACCGATCAATTGTTTTGGGGATGCATTATCAGCTTTTTATTTGGTTTGGTTTTCCAGCTATTATCAGTACACTACCAGGTGACTGAGCTGACTAATCACACAAAAGAAATAATCAATAGTCCAAGTTAACTGTTTAGAAAGTACTCATAGGTTAAAATTGGTTCTGTAAACAATGTTGGTGAATACTTATGAAACAGCAAATGCATATGTAGAAACCACTTTCACTTTGTGACTGACTTATGAACACAAAAGCGGTATAAATCCACCAGTAGCATTATTCACAATAAATAACCAGCTCTAGGTATAGGTAAGTAATGGAATATCAGTTTTACACAGGATAAGTTAAAACATATAATGATTTACTCTTGGTTACTCAGTGAATCAATTGTGCAGTACCACCCAAGGTTTCCCAGCCTTCCCTAATGCACATTGCCATATGCAGTATTCAAGTGGAATGGAGCACATAGCATGTACTAGGACTGACGAGGATAACTGGGATATTTTTGTATGACCCAAGGGATTAAAAAAAACAACATGAGAATATTTGTGTGAGCTGGTTTCCTTACATAGAGTGGATTTTTCAGACATTATGATGGCCTTGCAGCTCACTCTGTCTCTGATACTGTATAACCTAAGCATATACTTTCAGCCTTTATTATGAAAAGATGTTGCTAAATATTCAATTATAATAGGGTGTTGGTCATTTTCAGCATTAAAAGCATTTGTTTGGGGTAGAAGGTGCTAAATAAATGCAAAATGTTAAACAGAGCAAAATGGTGCCAATTTAGATACCTTGCTTGCCTCAGTGACTTTTTTGATGGCTCTGTTCTTTGTGTGCCAGCTGGCTTCAGCCCTGCCTTAGGGATTCCTGGTCCACTTCCAGGTCCACCAGGGAGTGTGCTGGGCGTCCCCCCCCCGGCTCAGCAACTGGTGCCATCTGGATTGGGGGGGGCACCTGAGGTTCCCCTGTGGCTGATCATGGGGTGGGGGGGAGCCCCGTGCACTCCCCAGTGGACTTCCAGGTTCGCCGCTGAGCAGGTGGAGGGCCCCCCCCACACTCCTGTGGGACACTCCATGCGCCTCAGCACCACAGGTATCACAAGCCGCGCCTGCTACCTCGAGGTATGTAGAAAATACATTTAAAGCTGCATCTACAGCCAACTCGCTGATTCTCTGAATCGGCATCAAATCTTCAGATTCAGATTTGGCCAGATTGGATCGGGGACAGTGATCCAAATTGACAAATCGAATCACTGTCCCTGATTCTGGCTAAATCCGAATCTGAATCGAATAGGGCCCACTTCGCACACCGCTATCTGTCAGTCAGTTGTTTCACCAGCCAGATGGGATGATTATTGAGCAATGTAAGGGTACACTGCTTTTCTGGGAAAGGAGGAAGTACACTCAGCCCTCAGCTGCCAGGACAGGAGTCTCATGGATAGGGGTAGAATTATCAGAAGAACCTATCTGACTTAAAGACATAAGTCCCTTTGATATTCAATGAGATTTAGTGTTCAAAGTGCCTAAAATGGGCATCCCAGTCTTGAGTGAGTGACTTGCTTTGGAAATATTTGTCCTTTGTTACTTGAATGCTCCTTGGAAACACATGAGAACTGCTTATTGAGTCTTAGCAGCTAAGACATGTGGCTGACTCAAGGGGATGTCCTACAGCATCTGATTCTTGCTTTGTTTCTATGTTGGATAGATTAATTATTCAGACAAATGCCTGAATTGTTCAAAACTGCGTGAAAATCCTTCTAATTGGAATACTGAATGCCTCTGCTCTGCTGACTTCAAGTTAGAGGAAAAAATACAGGTAAGTAACATGAGAAACCACCCACAAACTATAGCTACTAAATTCCTATGTGATATGAAGTATTCATTTGGCTACATAAGACACAAAATCATTTCCTTGAAGTCCTTTATTTTGCTATGTTTCACAAATCTAAAACCCTGGGCATGCTAAATCTTTGCCACTGGTGTTCATTCTGGCACATTCTGTTAACTAAGCAAGGTCAGGCCTCATTAATACTTGGACAGGAGATGAGGTAAAAATAGAGGCTCTAGAAGTTGGTGGCATTTCAAGAGGTGACTTCTTTTCCCTCTGAGTCAGTAGTGTCTATACCCTGGGGGCACAGTGCTGCTAAGTGAACATCTCTCAAAAGAGATTAAATCTTGACCACTTGTTAACTACCATATTTACTTGAAAATGAGGTTCCCACATGGGGAAAACAAAGACTTGCCTTGGATTTGAGGACCAGCCTGGGACAGGTGGGAGCTCTGGTCTGACTTTGATCCCAGGCTGAAGCCAGAGCTGGGCCACTGCCTGCCCCAGCCTAGAATAGTTTTTGGTGGGGGATGGGGAACATGGCTGGGGGGAGCACAGGGGAAATTGAGGGGGGGAGAAACCTGCAGCCTTCCTCCTCCAGCACCCCCCATGCCTGTGCCTGCCTCCCCTACCCTCTGCTTCCCTCCTCCCAGCTGTGCCCTCCCCCCTTACCTTCTATTCCGGCTCCAGCCCCAACCTGGTGGGGCTGGAGGATGCCACCGCTTCTCCCTGGCTAAGGCTGGGCTGGGGCTGTGCTGCTGCAGCATGTCCTGGATGAGAAGAACAGCAGCAGGTAAGGGGGGTGGGCAAAGAGGTGGGGGCAAGCACAGGCATAGGGTGCAAGTGGCCTGGGGAGGTAGGCTGCAGAGGGAACAGGAGGTGGGGGAGGCAGGTATGGGCAAGGGGGGCATATGGTAGGACTGGCAGCAGGGTGGGCAGGAGTGGGAGGGCAGTGGGTAGGGAACTGGCCCCTCACCAATGCTTTCCCCACCACCAAAGTGAGGTTGGACAAATTTAAGATGGCATTCTACTATTTAGTTTCTGTACCTGGAAAATTATAACATCTATACTTTTCCATGAATAGAATCTAATTATTTTAGGGGGTTATCTTAAATTTGAAGTCATCTTGGATTTCAGTAAATACAGTTAACCTCTTGTAGCCCTTTTCACAAGGGCTGTAGTGTTAATGTCCTGGCTCCATTTTCATGTTAGTAATTTCGTTCTAGAGTTTCAACTGGAAAAATTACTTTTTTCTGTCCTAAACTGCTGAAGGATATTGTCACGCACTGTTAAAAACAATGAAAAAAAACTACGCCAGGGGTTGGCAACCCCCAGCATGGGTGCCAGAGCACGCACACTTCGGGACAGAGGGTGGGGAAGGGGCCAGGGCTGTGCTGCCACAATGAGGATCAGGCCCCCATGGCTCTCCCGCCATCTGCCCCTGGTACATCAACATCTTACAAGTTGAGTTTGCTGGTGTTCCTGGCACTCTGCTCAAAAACGTTGCTGAACCCTGAACTACAACAAACAAATAAAACTACATGGGATAGCTATATTTCAGTAGTGATCAGAGTGTGCAATTTAAATTTTTAAAGCCACTATGAGATTCCTCAGCACAGAAGAGGCCACAAAGATATTACGTAGACTAATACATGTGGTGCAGGAATGTTTTGAGAGTTGTAGAGCATTTAAAATCAAAGCTAAAATATATTCCTTTCTTGGCTACAAAGACTAGGTACATATTTCTCCTTAGCCTAGAACTCTTCTAGATAGAGGACTTACACCCTTCTAAAAAACTGACCCTAAGTGACTTAGGAACCCAGCTCCCATTTTCAGTAACTTAGGGGGCCTATATACAGCAATGAGGCTGCTCCTAGAGTGCATCAGAGCAGACTTGATTGAGTCTGCTGAAGCATGGTAATTACCAGGGATCTGAGTTTTCCATTTCCTATGGAAAAAAGTGGATTTCCTTTTTTAAAGGAGAAAAACATGGATTTTACCTTTGAAGCTGGCAACTTCAGGTTTCCCCTTGCAGGCTGGCAGTGTTCCAGCCGACAAGGAGCTACTTGGGGCTCGGGGAAGCAGAGGGAGGGAAACTGAGGACAGGGAGCACCATGTGTTTGTGCATGCACGCGCACGTGTTTGGCAATACAGAAAGGCAGGGTAGTGGGAGCAGCCCACGCAGCTGGAAATGGGTAAGTCTATGGGACGTGGGGCTTGGAGGGCCAGGACTGGGGGACTGTCCGGGGAGCTGTGTGTGGGGCATGAGTGTGTGTGTTGCAGTGTGTGTGTGGAGGGGATGTGTGTGGGAGTCTGTGTACCTTAGGGTACCTGCCGGCACTGTGGGAGGGAATCCAGGTGCTGGGGCTGCAGCAGGGCAGTGGGGTTTGAGGCAACGCTTGGTGCTGCCAATGAGCCCTGCTCAGTGTTGCTGCCAGCAAGGCCTGCCCAGAGGTGCCTGGCCCTCCGGTGGGGGAAGGAGGTGGGAGGGTGTTCTTTGGGGATGGCAGGAAGCCAGGCAGTGGCTGAGGCACCACATGCTGCTCTGCACCACTGGCTGGGGCTGGGGCATGATGGGAAGGACTGGAAGTATGGCTCTGGCCCAGGCCATGCTGTGTGCAGCTGGAGGAGGGTGAGGGGCTTCATGCAGTTTCAGTCCCACTTGTGGTGGCTGCAGCAGCTCCCACTCATGTAAGCAGCAGCAGAGTGAGCCTGGCCCCAGCAGAGGCTGAAAGGAGGAGGGGAAGCCAGTGGCACTATCCTGTTCCAGTCTGGGGCTCTCATGCTACACCAGGCAGCCTAGCCATGTCCTCCCTCCCCCTCCCCAAGCCAGCAGTATCTCCCGACTTCACATGGCCTTCCCTGCCTCTGAGAGCATGGACACCAGCCTCTGGCAGCCTGATCATGCAGCTCCTCACTGCCCCTGAAAGACCCCTGCCCCCTTCCCTTGCTGCAGTGCTGTGAGTCCATGTGGGGCTGGCTGGGGTGGGGGGTAACTGAGGGCTGTGAGTCGGGAGTGAGGAGAACCAGCAGGGATGGAGGGCACCGGGGTGGGGGGGGGGAAGGGAGTATATCAGGACTGCTCAGTGCCACAAAATAGCAGAGGCAGGATAGCCACAGCTGGACCCATGTCCTGGTGAATGAAGGTGGCAGGGAAAGCTCTGATTTTCCATGATAAAAAAGAAAAAGTCAAATGCCAAAATATATAGGTAATTAGAATGTACTTTATGATTGAGGCACTGGTAGGCTTCCAAATTACTTTAAAATGATAAATATATCAATAAAACATTGTGTTCAACTGATACCTATATATATATATAGTTACGTTTCATTTTAATTGTAAAAAACCACAGATTTGGGGTTTTTAATCATAATTTGGGATTTTTTAATTGGAGAGAACAAGGATCCCTGGCAATTACCACGCTCCAGCAGACTCCAGCATTTTGTGTATCAGCGTCCCCATGCTGAAAAATGGTAGTGGGGGCGCTTTAACTAAATCTTGTTTGACGAGCTTTAGTTGAAATGCCCCCACCACCATTTTTCAGCAGCGCGACGCTGATACATGAGACACTCCCAAGTGCTTTAATTAGCACGGCTCTTGGAGCTACTCTATTTAAAGCACACCCTCCCTGCTGTTAGGTACTTGGGAGCTAGCATCTAGATTTTTAAAGATCTTTAGGAACTGACCTCCTGAAGTGCCACAAGGGAGCTTATTCATGTGAATCAAGTTTTGATGGATCATGTCCAATACCTGTTACTCTGAGTAAAACAATATCTTTGAATTACCATAGTATGTCCTACCCAATGATTTCAGACTACAAGGAGTAGGGGAATGATGGTGTTCCACCTCTCCTCTATCCGCAAGCCCAAAGCACATGGATGTCTCACAATAAACTGATCAGCTGTAATGTTAACAACATGAGCATCTAAATAGTCATCATACAGCTGCCTGCACTTGTGAAATGTATCTTTTTGCTTATATCCCCTCTCTGCCTAAGTTCTTCTTTTGAATTCTAGGGTGATGTTTTTATGTACTACGGCCTGCAAAACTTTTATCAGAACCACCGTCGGTACGTCATGTCCAGGAGCAACGCGCAATTGCTGGGTCGAAATACAGATGTAAGATTGTTGCATGATCAATATTTTAGTGCAGGGCCATCCAATTGCTCAGCAGACAGGGGCCACACACCCTGCAGACTGCACCAGTGCAAGCTGTGGGCCTCTTGGACCAAATGACATGTGAGCGGTGCTCTGGCCTCAGTCTCTACATGTTAGCTGCGGTCTCCTGTGGCAGTGAGCTCCCTCAGCACCATGGGTGGGAGCCATACCATACCACCCACAAAGATGGGGTGATGAAGCAAAAGCCAGAAGAGGGAAGGGGAGCCTAGAGCAGCTGGAGCCAGAGGGAGAACAGCAACTGGGTCAGAGCCTGGAGAGCATAAATTAACCCCTCACAGGCTGCATTGCAGGCTGCTATTGTACAGCCCTGTTTTAGTCTAATGTAAGCTTGCTATAGCCTCTAACGCAGGTGTCTGGGTATTTGGCTTGGATAGAGTAATAAGGTAAAGCTTTTTCAAGCTAAGTCACTGCTGTATGGTTAAGCCCGTGTGACATGAGTTGGTGAGAGGCATGGAAGAGGAGAGGAGAGTGATTAAAGCACAGGTCTGGGTTCTGTTCCTGGCTCCATCTCTGACTTGCTGTGAGTGTAGTTGAGTTGATATCCTTCTCTGTACTTCAGATTCCTGCTGCAGTCAGTGCAAATAATGTTGCTCCTGATAGCAGGCAGGTTGTAATGCTTAATTTGCTGGAGCACATCAAGCAGCCTGAGCTCCTGTGGTTGAAGGTGCTGGAAAAGCAGATTGCGTATTCTTGCTGGCTTCAGTGGAATGGGGTCAACTTCAAAAAATGATTTTGTAACTCTGGTGACCGTCTCAACAAACTACCAGTGGCACTGAACTACCCTCCCCTAAAAGTCCTTTTAATTTGAGGTTGAGAGTCATGGCTGGAAAATTTTGGGGAAGGTTGCATTATTGCTTCACCTGCTGTATGTTATCTCAGGATGAATAAAGGAAATTGGTCCTGACTCCAGACCTATCAAACCTGTTCCTTCTGGGAGCACTAAATTATAGAGGAGTCATAGAATCGTAGAAACTTAGGGTTGGAAGGGACCTCAGAAGGTCATCTAATCCAATCCCCTGCTCAAAGCAGGACCACCCCCAACTAGATCATCCCAGCCAGGGCTTTCTCAAGCCTAAACCTAAACCTCCTTTGCTACAACTTGAGACCATTGCTCCTTGTTCTGATATCTGTCACCACTGAGAACAGTCTAGCAGGGGTGGGTAATTATTTCAGGTAAGGGGCTACTTACCAAGTTTTGCCAAGCTGTAAAGGGCCATATGGGTAGCCCCTCCCCTTGACAGGTGCCCCACCCCCTGGTTGCCATCCTGGAACTGGAAGTCCCACCCCTAACCTCTGACCTTTGCTACCAGAAGACCCTCTCCTTGGCCCTGGAATTATTCCTTTGGGGAAGAGGGTTTGCCATCTTAGGGGGGAAAAACCAAATAATGTACTAAAAATCAAATACCCATAATAATATATTTTAATTTAATTTAAAAAAAAGTCTTAATTGTATGCATTTGTGGTGTATATGCAGAAATAATTGCATATGGGGGTTTGTGTGGATGTGTGTGTGGGTATGGGAGCCGTAGAGTGGCCCTACTGGCTAGGCAGGGGCTTCTGGCTGGGGATGTGGGGCCAGGATGGCCCTGCTGTTGCAGGAGCCTGCTGGCACTTCCCCTGGGTCTTAGATAAATATAAATATTAATTTTCTAAATGTTTTAGGGGCCCCACGGGCTGGATAGAATGGCCTGGCAGGCCAGATGCGGCCCACGGGCTGTATTTTGCCCACCCCTGGTCTGTTTCCAATCTCTTTGGAACTAGCCTTCAGGTAGTTAAATGCTTCTATTAAACCCCCCTTCTCTTCTTCAAGCTAAATAAACTTAGTTCCTTCAGCTTCTTCTCAGAAAGTCATGTGCCCCAGCCCCCAAACCATCTTTGTTGCTCTCTGCTGTACTCTCTCCAACTTGTCCACATCGTTTCCATAGCGAGGAGCCCAAAACTGAACATGGTACTCCAGATGTGGCCTCACCAGTGCAGAATAGAGGGAAATAACTACTTCCCCTGACCTGCTAGCAATGCACCTACTAATGCAGCCCAGTATGCCGTTAGCCTTCCTGGCAACAAGGGCACATTTCTGATTTGTATCCATCTTATTGTCCACTGTAACCCACAGGTCCTTTGCTGCAGACCTACTCCTTAACCAGTCTGTCCCAAGTCTGTACTGGTGCATGGGATTTTTCTCTCCTCAGTGCAGGACTTTGTACGTGCCCTTGTTGAACCTCATGAGATTTCTCATGACCCAATCCACCAATTTGTCTGAGTCACTCTGAATCCTAGCCCTGCCCTTCATCATATCTGCTACATCACTCAGCTTGGTGCCATCTGCAGACTTGCTGAGGATACAATCCATCCCGTCTTCCAGATCCTTAATGCAAATATTAAACAAAACCAGCCCCTGAACTGACCCCTGGGGCACTCCACTTAATACAGGCTGCTAATTAGACATTGAGCCATTGATTACTACATGTTGGGCCCAACAATCCAGGCAGCCTTCTGTCCACCTTGCAGTCCATTCATCCAACTCATAGTACCTCAGCTTGCTTGAAAGAATGCTGTGAGAGATGGTATCAAAAGTCTTGCTAAAGTCAAGGTAAAGCATGTCCACTGCTTTCCATGAATCCCCAGAGCCAGTTATCTCATCATAGAAGGCAATCAGGTTGGTTAGTCATGACTTGCTTGTAGTGAATCCATGCTGACTGTTCCTGATCACTTTCTTCTCCAAGTGTTTAGAAATGGATTCTGGGTTAAGTAATGGTTTCTGTTCCATGATTTTTCTAGGGACTGAGGTGAGGCTGACTTGTCTGTAGTTCCCTGGTTCCTCTTTCTTCCCTTTCTTAAAGATGGGCACTGTATTTGCCTTTTTCCAGTTGTCTGGAACCTGCCCAGTCACTAGGAGTTTTCAAAGATAATAGTCAGCAGCTCTGCAATCACATCAGCCAACTCTCTCAGCACCGTTGGATGCGTTGCATCTAGCCCTATGGACTAGTACACATCCAGCTTTTCTTAATTGTCCCTAATCTGTTCTCTCACCACTGAGGGCTGCTCACCTTCTCCCCAGACTGTCCTACCTGGTGCAGCAGTCTGGGAACTGATCTTGCCTGTGAAGACCAAGGTAAAAAAGGTATTGAATACTTCAGCCTTTTCCTCATCATCTGTCACTAGGTTGCCTCCCCCATTCAGTAAGGGACCCACCCTTTCCCTGACCTTCCTCTTGTTGGTAACATATTTGTAGAAACCCTTTTTGTACCCTTCACATCCCTTGCTAGCTGCAACTCCATTTGTGCTTTGGCCTTCCTGATTTCATCCCTGCATGCTCCAGGAATACTCTTATACTTCTCCCTAGTTATCTGTCCAAGCTTACATTTCTTGTAAGCTTCCTTTTTGTATTTATGCTCACCAAAGAGTTCTCTGCTAAGCCAAGTTAGTTGCTTGCCACATCTGCTATTCTTCCTGCACATCAGGATGGTTTGTTCCTGTGCCCTCAGTAAGTTTTCTTGAAAATACAACCAGCTCTCCTGCACTCCTGCCCCTCAGCCTGGCCTCCCAGGGGATCCTGCCCATCTGTTCCTTGAGGGAGCCAAAGTCTGCTTATCTTAATTCCAGGGTCCTTTCTCTGCTGTTCTCCTTTCTTCCTTTTGTCAGGATCCTGAACTGAGTCATCTTGTGGTCGCTGCTGTCCAACTTGCCATCCACTTCTACATCCCCCACCAATTCTTCCCTGTTTGTGAGCAGGTCAAGAAGAGCATGGCCCCTAGTTGGTCTCTCCAGCACTTGCACCAGGAAATTGTCTCCAACGCTCTCCAAAAACTTCCTGGGTTGCCTGTGCACTGCTGTATTGACCTCCCAGCAGATGTCAGGGTGATTGAGAACCAGGGCCTGTACTCTGGAAACTTCTGTTAATTGTCTGGAGAAAGCCTTGTCTACCTCATCCTCCTGGTCAGGTGGTCTATAGCAGACACCCACCACAACGTCACCGTTGTTGCTCTCCCCTCTAATCTTAACCTAGAGACTTTCTAGAGGCCTATCTCCAGTTTCATACTGGAACTCTGAGCAATCAAACAGCTCTTTTACATACAGCACAACTCCTCCTCCTCTTCTCCCCTGCCTGTGTTTCCTGACCAGTTTGTACCATCCATGACACTGCTCCTGTCATGTGAGCTATCCCACCACATCTCTGTTATTCCAGTCACATCATAGTTCCTTGACAGTGCTATGATTTCCAGTTCTTCCTGCTGGTTTAAATCATAGTTTAAAATGAATACACAAATCCCCCTCCTTCCAAGTGATAGTTTTTAGCTACAAATTCAGCTCTGTTGGGCAGTGGCTTTGGATACACTGGGGAATTAGCTTTCTGCTTCTTAATTAATTAAACAGGCTTCTAATGTTTTTCTTTTTTTGTTGTTGGGGGAAGTAAAGACAGAATCATGTGAGCCTTTATGATTCAGAAAGGGACAGCAGGAAGAATTCGACATATGATAAGGCAACAGCGTCTACCACTAGAGGAAATAAGAGATAAAATCACTGTTAACTGTGTAACTCACCCTCACAAACTTAAAACTAATTTACCCTGATTAAAAAGTAGCTTCCAGCTGTGCTGTCTGGCCAGTTTTTGTGGTTTTGCCACCATAGTTGTCTCTCTCTGCTTTGCAAGTGCTTCCTTCTAGCTCTCAAAGCATGTTCCCATGATAACTACTTTCCCATGCATGCAGCCCATGCCTGCTTTCCTGTTTGCACATATGGGTAACAGCTTGTCAGTTCTAGGACAGCCCAACAAACAGTATCAGAGGCAGAGCTGATGAACATTGTTTTCTTACTTAACCCAGAAGGTTTGCAGCTGCTCTGTGAATTGGTATCAGAGGGCAATTCCAGCAGAAAAATGTCCACAGTGACTTCAGACCTCCTGGAGGTGACATTAACCATAGACTTGAAAGGGGCAGTGCAGCCCCTTGCAGGTGACCACATTTCTTACAACCCAAAGAGGGGAAAGGTAGGCCCAGACCCAGAGTTTCAAAAATAAGAGAAGGATAAAAATATTGAGCTGTGCTATCTTGAGATCTGGCTGTGGTTTATAGCTATAGCCTGCAGTAGAAGAGAATTAGACGGGCTGTGTTGCCACAGGAGATCCTCTAAGGAGCTGAATGGATCTGAGGTCATGTAACAAGCCACTGGCAGTGACTGGAGCAGAGCGCAAGTCTGCTAATGCTCTGTCCATTGACTCATTCCATGTGGGTTTGTCTCCAAAGTGACTGAGGCCCTGGAGACTCCTAGGTGTTTAGTGTTTAAAAAAAATAAAAATAAAAAGGGGAAATAGATAAAATATTAAGCAAAAGATTGCTTAGGAAAAGATGTAATTGTTCTGTGTCCTTACATTCAGATTCGTAACAGCAAATGTGCACCTTTCTCAACCTATCGCAACGGAACTCCCATGGCTCCATGCGGTGCTATCGCCAACAGCATGTTCAATGGTAGGTGTGTTCCACATCTCATTTATTCAACTGCCTGGCTGTACCCAGTGGAAACATCTCTGTGGCCCTGAGTCTGCCCAGAGCCCCACTGTTGGTCTCTGCTCCCACTTGTGGATGTTGTTAGGCAGTGTGACTGGAATGGAGATGCCAAACAGCAGTGAATAGCATCCTACCACTTTGCCTGCAAGCCTAAATACATTGGCATGTCTAGAGGATTGCAAGGAATCCTACAAACCATTTGCAGGATTGAGCTTCTGAGTAGCCTAGGAAAGTAGCTTAGCTGGAAAGTGTGCAGCTGGGTGAGCACAGAAGACCCAGAAGCTAGCTTCATCGGGTGATGTGCTTGCAAGTGTGAAACGACACATTCTTGCAATAGAAAATCTTATTTGGGCCCAACCTAAATCCTCCGTTACATGGATTTAACTACAGCTGTGATTTTAAATCAGTACATACCCTTATGTGGACACATTCCTAGATTGTTTTAATCTTCTCTTGGAGTGATTTAACCTGCATTGGTAAATTTCCAGGTTCAAGTAAATTGTTTTAAATCCTGATCTGCAGAATGTTTTTATGCTCAACTGTCAGTCGTGGGTGTGGTCTTTTTCTCCCAACATAGTTACCTCAGAGCAGCATCCCTAATGGTGGTGATGGTTGTCCATCACATGCTGTAGAACTCTGTTCACACTAGGGAGTTGTGTCACTAAAATGTTATTGGTGTAGTTGAACTATTACAACTTCTGTGTGTAGACAAGACCAAAGTGTGCATACATAGGCCCTGTCTTCATGGGCATAGAAAGTGTGTATTTCAGTCTTACTAGCCCAGTTGAATTCATCTAACCTGTTTGAAAAGGCTTCTTACCACTTGCTAAAAGAGAGAGAGGCACCACTCTTCCATGCAGACCAACCAATATGGCTTCAGACATGTTAGCCTGTGTCTCAGTGAGACTTAAGAAAGCTTTTCAATCATGTGACATAAACATCATTCGAAAAATGCACTTTTCTACCCAGGAGATTGTACCAGTTTTCAAATAATTTGTAATTAGACTTGTTCAACTTTACTGGATAGTCTCATAATGACAAATCAGGATGTTTCCTTAAGGCACAGACTCCCTGGTCTTTATGTTCACTTCCAAAAATATTGATTTTGTATAGTAAGCGAGCTAGCTATCTCACTTTGACATCTCAGTAGAGAAGAGGCACAGGTTGCTTTTATCTTGATACAGGGAACTGAGGGCAGCTCATGATAGGAAGTATAATATTAGCCTTATTTACATGGAAAGAAGCAACCAGTTTCTTGATTCCTCTGGGATTTTAAAAGAAGAAAGCTGCCCTGAATAAGCTCATTTGCAGTAAAACACACTTTTTCTAATGCTGCAGTCATTCTCCTGTTGTCTCAGTATACTCTATTTTGTCACATATGACACACCCTGGAATATAATACCTTTTTGAAAGGCGGAACAAAGAAAAAAAGATCTTTCCTTGTAGTAAGTAACTGAGTAGCAGCAGTCTTTGAGATTTCAAAGATTGTTCTTGTTTAAGGCTCTTCAGTGGTAAACTTCTGGTGGAATACACCAAATGGGTAGAGGCTGAAAAAAATCATAAAATATTCTCTTATCTCTTTATTTCTCTCTGTTCCATGGAGGGGGAGGGGTTAGTGTGTCTGTGTAGGTGTGTGCATACACATACATGCACCCACCTTCAAGCTTTCACTTGGTCATGCTAATTACTGAAGTGACAGGTGGCAGTTGCAGGGCAGTTAATAATACATATTACTTTTGATCCTTCTGCAGATACAATTTCTCTTTTTTACTATACTAATTTATCCACTGCTATCCAAGTCCCACTACTAAAGACTGGAAATAGTTGGTGGACAGATAAATATGTGAAGTTTCGCAATCCAACATCACACAACCTCACTTCTGCATTTGCAGGTAAGAATTATTTCATTTGCATTCCCTTATTTTTAAAGTCTGCCTGCTGTGGGTGGACACCCCCTGAGACAGGCCCAGGCCTTGTGAGAACGGTCTGTGTGTTCTCCCCACTGGCAATTAATTTATCCAATGGAAAAGCCATGAGAGCAACCTCACAAAACCCTCTCCAGGTTCTCAATGGAAAAACACCATAATCAGCATCTTGGATGGAAAGACATATAAAGAGAAAAAGATTTTCCAGAAAGACAGAAAAGTGAAGTCTTTCCCCTCTCTTCTCCTTACTGAGGAAGACTGTTGGGCAAAAAGAGTGAATAAAGTGGGACTTATTGTCAGATCGTCATCTTCATTAGCTCTTTGAACTGATGACTAGCTGTCACTATTGACATTAATAGCATCACTACTGATAGTGTTGCTGTTAGTTTATATTTGTATTGGGGGAGGACCTGTGAGTACTAATCATGAACCAGGACCCCACTTTGCTTGATGCTGTACAAATGCTGAGCAGGAAAATGGTCCCTGCCCCCCCAAAAAACTTGAAGTCTGTGCAAGATCAGCACCACAGCTGCCAACTGCAGATGAATAATGCATAAATGTTGACCTATCTTTCTGTGCATTTTGTGAGCAAAGAGAAAAGAAACAATCTATCAAAGCACAGGTAAACAATTAATTGCAAAAAGCAGGGTAGAGATGCACCTTATAGCCTAACTGCATGAGAGATTCATTAACTTTTGTGATCTCCAGCTTACTTCATCAGATGCTATGAAAAGACATGCAGAAAACAGGCTATCAAAAAGAGGGGGTGATAAGGTTAAGTGTGGGAGCATTGCCATGTGATGAGAGTATGGAAGGTAGGAACCAGAAATAATGGTAATAGTTCATGCACAAATCACTTTAATTCTTTTGCACAGGTTTCTCTATTACATAAGGATTATTACATTTACCTACCACATGGGTATATAATTAAGCTCAGTTCATTCATGTTCTAAGATCTTTGGATGGAAACAGCTCTCTGCTGTGCCTGTCTTCTGAAAGCAGGGCAAAACCTCTGTCCATTCAATGCTCTTGCATCCTCAGTTAAACATCAGAAGCCCAGCAGGAGTCAGTAAGTAACTACTTGTCTGAGCAGCATTCCTTCCCTGTTCTCCATTTTCCTCCCCAGGGACAGCAAGGCCTCCCTATTGGCAGAAACCAGCCTATTTATTGGATGAGGAGAATGAAAGGAATAATGGTTACATCAATGATGACTTTATCGTATGGATGCGGGTGTCAGCTTTCCACACTTTCAGAAACCTCCACCGTCGCCTCAGCCGCACCAAGCAGTTTGTTGATGGTCTCCCAGCAGGGAATTACACCTTTCGCATTTTCTACAGTATCCTTTCATCATGCCTGATGTATTCCTTCATTTTTAGATAGGTATAAATTAGATGATAGTTGGCTTGGCAGCATTATAGCAAGAAATAAAACCCTAAGGAAGATCTCAATTTTGATGACAACTCTGGATTTTCTGCAGTCTGCACTAGTGGCTTTAGACACATCTCTCAAGTGCTTTGTATCAGGCCAGCTTAAGCCATTGTACCTCAGTTCTGATCCCGCTGCTTGTCTGATGGTTAGTGACGAAGCACAGCAGTGGCAGCTTTCGTACAGAGGTTGGGAAACCAACTTGTTCCAGGTAACCTAAAACAGGAATTAAAATCAATATATTTTACACTGAGCTACCTTCCAGGGGTAAGATATTCATGTGTCAGAGGGCCTTTTCCAGTTGAGTATGTGTCAGTGGAGAACAGGTTTATTTATTCTTTTATCAGAACAAAGGCTTTTCTATGCTGAAAGAGTCTGTGCTGCTATGGCTATGTCAGCAGAGACCCCTCGTGGAGATGCAACCTATGGGAACAGGAGTTGTTATGCCAGAGTAGCAAGGTCTTCTTCCCAAGTGTTAACCTTGGGCTGCCTGAAGTACTGCTCCATTGACACTGCTGCATCTACCCCTGGATGGTGCTGGCATAAGTCATCAGCCTAATGGCGTGACTTTCTCATACTCCTAGGTGAAGTAGAAAGCCAACAAATCTTTGTAATAACATCCTGTTCTAAGAGATGAAGCCTGGGATGCTAGTGTCTCACAATGAAGAGACTGGGATATCCTACAAGCATTATGTAGAGTGTTGGCATGTCAGGGCCTGGTGTCCGCAGGAGGTGGTTCTCTTGTACAATATCCACCCAGATTTCCCAATTAATTTGATGTGTTCCCTTTAAATATTATGGGCCCAGTTAAACCCTGATGTAACTCCAGTGCATTAAACAGTTACATGACACATGACCCTGACATCATGACATTAAAGGATCCAAGGGCTTTTCCATAGTCTGCCTTGTAAAGGCACACCAAAGGTCTTCATAAGCCTGGTGGACTATAGGGCCAGTGTAGTTGAGGCAGGCCAATGGCATACAAGGGAGTGATGTATGTTTGGCTACCTTGAACTCCCCAGCCTGAATGATCAGGTACCTGTTTACAGGGCACTGAACGCATGCCCCTGGAACTATTATGAGAGGCCATTGTGCTGCATGTGTGAACTTCTTACCTCTATCCCACCAACTTGAGGCAGCAAAAGATATTTTTGCCAACTCTTCTCTGTACATTTCATCATGACAGTGTAAAGGACTGCAGCATAGGTGGTCTAGCATAATGGTTAAGCCACTGAGGGAAAGCAGGGCCTGGGGCTGAGTCAAAGGGCAAGATCCATATACCAAAGCCAGAGAGAAATCCAGAAGCAGAGTCCACAACATAGTCCAGGGTCAGGATCCAGGGATCAGATGCCAAGTACCAATCCAGAGAGCAATTCACATGGCAAAGTCTTAAAACAAAACCAAACCGGGGTCACGAGCCAGGAAAAAGAACCACAGGGAAATCCAAAGCTGGAGTCCAAAAATAAGCCAAAAACCAGGGTCAGGAGCCAGGATAACCAGAGTGTAAGAACTAGGAGGCTTGCCACAGCAAAACTGTTGACTGGCCTGCAGACCCAAGGCCCAAGTTTTTGATGCCAGTGAGGAGACTTGCTGCTCCTAAATTGTGGGAGAGTTAAGTAGCTGGGGTTTACTGCTGGTGTGGCTGCTGGGGTTCTTGGCCCAGGCAGGTCTGCCTGGTCAGCGTCGTTGACAGACAATATGCTACAATTTGTTAATGAAACTTTAACTTCACCCCCATCAGATTTCCCGGTTTCTAGGTTCAAAGGGAAGAAATACTTGATTCTCTCGACTGTGGTGTGGTGTGGGGGAAGCAGCCTCTTCCTGGGAATTGCCTATACAGTTTCTGGTGCAGTGGTAATGCTGGCAGGTTTTATCATAACTGCCATTCACTTGAAGCTCAAAAAAAGGAAAACTTACTTTCAGAGATAACTAGACAATATGACTCTTTGGACCAAGATAAAGGCAGTCCTCTGAAAAGAGGACAGAGAAGCATGGACCTTTCACACATTCCTCCTCCCTGTAGAATCACTGCAAACACAGAAGAGGTGGTGAACACAGAGGTGTCCCGAGCGTTGTGATGTTCTTCTGTAACACAAAATAACCACAAGTTCATCAGGTTATTCCAGATGAATGACCCCACATGTCAGTCGTCTACTAAGAACCAATCTTTAGGATCTGAGAGGCGTTTGTGCTGTTTGGACCACTGTACTTATTTGGAATCCTGAACTCCAGTGCCTTTATAGAGAAGTGAGACTGGACGGGGCCTCAAGAGATCATCTGAGTGATTACCGAGTGCAAATGCTGGGCCAAAACTCAGGTCTTCAGATTTTGCTGAATCCGTAATCAGGCAGCCCGGGTGCCATCTTTGTGGGATGGGGGAGGCAAGAGGGGGGACTAGACAAAACAGCTACTCCTGTAGTGACACCTGACCACACCACTGTAATTTGCATAGCAGGAGCTGGTGCTGCCCCTGAGTTGGTGGCTGCTTCAGCTGTGGACCTCTCTGTGTGAAGTAATAGTCTATGTGAAGTAATATTTGTAGTGAAGCTTAGGCTTCTAAGGCCAGATCCAGATGTGCAGGCACGTGAGATTTGTCGCCGCAAACCTCTTTGCGGTGCCACAAACTGCATGTGTTGCATATTAAACCATGGATGGCTGCCTGCTCACTGGGCTGCCTGCTTTCCTGTCTTGAGGCACACTGCACCCCAGGCAGCTGCTCTACGGCTCGCTGGGGCACCACATGGCATAGCACAGGGCTCCTGCACTGAGGCATGCAAAGACAGGGGATCAGCCAGCCTAGGGCTGCCTGTTCCCCTATCTCAAGGTACACTGTGCCTCAGCCAGCTGGGGAGCAGCTGGCTAGGGTGCCGGGTGCCTCAATGCACAGGCTGCCCCATCTCCACGTGCTACTCCCTGGCTGGCTGGGCCACAGGGTGCTTCAGCATGGGGGCTGCCTGCTGGCTAGCCCTGCACTGAGGTACCCTGTGCCCCAGCCAGGCCCCCTGCAGCACACGGAGCAGCAGAACGGTGTGTCCTGCTGCAAACCATGTGAGCAGGGGCATGCACTGCAGCATAAAGTAGCAGCATCAATTTGTGCTGCTACTATTTGTTCTGCTGCAAACACATGCCCCTGCTCACGTGGACGCTACCTATGTGTCTAAATCGCTGTTAGAAATGGGACTTAGGATTCTAAATCATTAAGACACTTTTGAAAATGTTACCCTCTGTGACTCGGTTGGAGTCACTGAGGCAACAACCTGTGCCAGCGCTGGGATTAGAACTCAGGAATTCTGGCTTCCTGCCCTGTGTTCAGACAGACCAGAGGACTGTTTTTCGCTCAAAATGGAGTTTCAGGAGCTGCTATGCATTATAGGTGTATAAGCCACAGAACATTTGTCACTGGTTTTATTTCATCATTCAGAGTCTGGTAAAAATGTTAGGCAGGAAAAGAACAAACAATAATCTATGTATTCCAGTGTGAGGGGAATATACCCAAATTAAAAAAAATGCTTATTTAGAAAACCCATTCAGCCTAGCAAGCAATGCTTACAATATACCCATTATTATCCTTCAACTGTTCATGAAAGTAGGTTGCCTGTAGACTTAACATTTATGAAGTCTTCAAACCCCCAAGAGGGAAATACTATCATGTAATGAATCTTCCTCCTTCTGTTACGCTGCTGTTTAGGTCCTGCCTCAGAAAGCAAAAGCACATTTTCTTTTCTTTTACTATGGGTGTATCATTCTTTTAATTCTTATCATGGCCTCTAAATAATCTCCTTGGAATAACCCACTGGAACTGGGAGGTTACTGGTTTTTAATCCTAGTGACTCAGTGGGCATGTCTATATGTACAATTAAAGTGGAGCAATAAACTCCAGGGTTTAGTGCCCCAGAGTGTATTGCTCCTGGGCGCTCCATTTAAACATGAGCTGGGTTGGAGCAAACACGGCTGGCAGGGGACCTGGCAGGGGGAGGGGGGTCAGCCTGTCCGCCCAGGGCTGCTCCTGCTCAGCTCAACATGCTGTGGAGGGGATGGCTGAGGCTTGAGGGTACTTTAGGGTGGGGCCAGCAAGCAGCCCCTGCACTGAAGCACCCTTATGCCTCAGCCAGCTTCTACATGCGTGGAGCTGCCAAGTTACAAGTACTACTGTGCAGTGGAGTTGATTAGTTTTCTGGGGCCCAATAGGGCTGCACATGTAGATGCTGAGATGTTTACTGCAGAGCTAATTAGGTAGCTCTGCAGTAAACATCCTGTGTAGATGCTTCCAGTTACATCTTCTGAGTCATTTCACATGGTATCCCTAGCCCAAAGTGATGGGAGTAAAGGGATGAGGGTATTGCCAGAATATTGCCACTCTTACAGAAAGTCTTATCTAAGCTTCTTAGAAGAGGAAGGAAAGTGTCTGAGGGGGAGGCAGGTCTCTGGTGATCTTCCACACTGCCTACATTGAGGCAGGACTCCTGTGACAAGATTGGAGGCTTGTAGGATGCCATTATGCTGTTTCAACCATTATTGCTGGCTGAAAGAGGTGGGCTGGAGAAGAGGTGAGGCTCTTGCAGGCTGGCTGGCACTCTGGCACAGTAAAAAAAGCTGTACAGATGATTGTGAACCCACATTGGGGTCATTATCAAGGAATTAACCCATAGAACATTCTGGGTGTTAATCATGGTGGGAGTTAGCAAGTTGGACTAAGCAGAAGATGGGACTGGTCCAAAAAGGAAACTGACTCATGATTTTGAACCCACTCAGACTAGTTTGTAACCAACCATTTAACAAAACGTAGGTGGGACACAAACATTTCTGTTTTCACACCCTAAACCATTCATGGGGAGCAAAGCTGTGAAAACACCACAGTAGTCATAATCTCATTGAGGTTCAGGGACCTAAGAGTTCACTTTGTATTGCCTTTTTCAGCAATTGGTAACCTGAGAATTACTGCCATTCTCATGCCATATGGTAGCATATGTGTTTTACGGAAAAGAATTCTGATAGGTAAAAATTGGAGATTACAATTTTATTGAGCTTACATATCAGGAATACTGAAGAGTAGATGACTTATTTCCTATATAGTTATTTATGTAGGCTTGTCTTTGGCAAAGCAAGATTGGAGTTTAAGAATGCTAAAGAAAGCAGGCCCTCACCCCCACCACAGTATGACCAATCCAATAGCACTACTGTGGTAAAGTCTAAGAGAATTATTGCTGGTATTTGCAATATTTGAAATTGAAAAATGATGAAGTTGTTTGTGTTTCAACTCTTTCTCTTAAGGATGTTGTTACCCTAATAAATTCTGCAGTACTCCAGAATGCTCCCATTCATTCTTGCTTGGAAAGGAAAAAACTGGAGCCATCACCACTAATGCTTTATAACTTCATCTTGCAGCCTTACACTATAGCCAGCACTGAGAAGCAGACAGATCCAGGTATTTTTATTATGTGCAAAAAAAACCCTAACCTCCCTCACCCCCCCCC